GTGCTCAGCTCTTGTGAAAACCTGCCTTTTAACAGGAGATTTTTCACAGAGGGCACAGGCTCAGTGGGGCCTACAGACCCTGAAGAACCTATGGGCACTAATGTCCCTGCAGTGAAATTAACAGCATCTCTCTGAGCTAACTTCTTTTCTTTCCTATCCAAGAAAGCTCTTGATGAATGTGGTATTTCAGCTGCTCCCATGGCTTTGATTAACCATCTTTTTAGCTCAGAGGTGCAGGTGCATTCACATCTTTGTGCACTGAGCATAGAGTCTGACATTGGTTTTGTTCTATTTCAATAAACCCATGCAACCCCAGCAAGATCAAAATGCCTCACTGGCCCCTCTGCCTCTGACGCTATTTCTGCTCTCACATATGCTTGGCAAAGTCATTTCCACAAGCAACTGGTTTAACCAGCTTCACTTCACAGCTTTTGTGTTAGGGATATTAGCTCGAGGACAACAGATTCCAAATCTCACAGCTGTCAGATTCCAGCTGTGCAACTATTGCTCTCCCAGAATTCCTCTAAAGGCTTGCATTTTAAATCCACTCCCACAACACTGATTTCATTAGCGATTGCATTCCTCTGGCCTTTTAGCAATTCTGAGAAGCTGGGTGGTATTGTGGGTTTCTCCTTAAAATGGGGAGCAATGGTTGCCGAAATTGCGGTTCCAGTCTCAATCTTCCAGACCGAAATGCAGGACATGAACTTTAAAATGATTGGGCAGGAAGCCCAAAATGAGGGGCAGAGCAAAATCTGTACAGTCGAGAGAATTTGGAATGAGAAGGGATTCAGGGGCGGGATCCAGCACCAAACAGATGTAGCTCCAGAGTCTCACCTTTACAACAGCTGAGACTCTGGCCCCAAACCTTATAACTTCAGGCTAAAATTTTCCAAACTTGGACACTAGAACTGACTGAGAAATGGGAAATTTATTTTGTGAAAAATGCCGACGTTGTTTCCACTTCACAGAGTTAGAAACACATCCCATTTCCATTTTTCCCAACATTTGAGTTTTGGGGTTTTTTGTTTGTTTTTAACCAAAATTGGTTTGAAAATTTTCCATGTTTCAAAAACTACATTTTAAATATCAACAATGATTTAAAAAATATTTTGATAACATTCCAATTAAAATGTCAATAAGACACAAAAAATGTCAAAAAATGGAAAATTCTGATCATGCCAACAATTTTTCCATGTCAAGTTTCATCATTAAAAAAAGCCAATTTTCCCCTGAAAAACTTTTGTATGAAAAATTTCAGCAAGCTCTTAGACAGCTACCTCCATATTTAGGCACCTAAATAAGTAGGCTGCTTTCAGATGCTGTAAACTAGGCCACCACAGCTGAAAATGAATTTTGAATTCAACATTTCTGGTGTCCAAAAGGATAAGAAATCAATAACTAACAACAAATATTACTGAGAATAATAAATAGAGAGACAAGAACATGGGATTTTTGGTCTAGAGTGGTGTGAGGGGTAAGACCAGAGTCTACTAGCTGCGTATAATAGGTGTGGGGTAGAGCTTGGAAAACAACCTACTTCTCCATGCCAGTTTTAAGGCCATAGTGTCATGCACTCCAGCTGCCTGAAAGCCGCACCAGAGAGCTGAAGGTCTGGGGAAAATTCAGCAGTTTTGAAGGATCTGCCCTGAGCAGGCAGGCACAGGCATGGCCTCCGGGGGCCCATGAACTGGTGAGAGCATGGAGTTCTCAAACTCACCCTGTGGAAGCCTGGCAGTCCTGTGCATCTGCAGGTGCTACCAAGGGATGGGCAGAGAAAGGCTGCCGGTGCACCACCCAGGGATGGGGATAGGCTATAGGAGGTACACCGGAGCCACAGGGATGCAGGGCAGCTGAGGCAAGCTGGTGACTCTGTGTGAATTAAGGCTGACTGGGATGGCATTAACGGATGCATGATATTGCAGCGCTCTCTCCGCTGATTCTACTCAGAGCAGCTCTGCTGAAGGCCAAGGTGTCCAGGACAGGGGGACATAGCACAGAGAGACCTTTCCTGGGGTGAAGAAGAAACCTCCCCAACAGATTTCAGTTCACACTCACTTCATCTCCTCTGTGGGTGCTCAGTAGCTACTCTGTACCCTGGTCATAAGAATCAAATTCCAGAGAGGTTTGCTCAAAAGACCCTGGTGTCATTGGGCAGGTACTGTTCCCAGTGATCTCAAAGGGGGCTTAGCCTGCACAGAGACCACAGAAGCCCTGAACGTACCAGACACCCAAGTGCACCTTTGGAGGTCCTGTATGATCCCTGCGACGCAAAAAGCATGAGGCTCATAAGCAAAGTGGGGAAAATGCAGCAAAACATCAACTCCGTAAAAAGGCGAGCGGAGCCCTGGATTTCAAAGCAGTGAAATCACCACTGAAATCGGCTTAAAAATCAAGCTCAGAAAAGCAGGGCTAATACTGTAACAAGGGTTTTCTACAAAACTGTCAGGAGAACCTACCACCAGTGTACACTAACACACACAGCACATGAATGGTGCTCAGTAGGATATGCTCTGAATGAAGGCAGGCATAATGGAGATCTTTGAACCGTGGAATTATGATGAGTGGTTTCTTTGTTCAGAAGCCTAAATTCACATAACAACAGAAACTTTATCTTCCTATTACTGAGAGATTAACTGCTTTTCAGAGCAATAATCCAAGGTTTCAAGAAGTCACTGGGCTCATGCTGGAAGGGCAGATACAGCAGTTTCCATGCAGAATGAATCAGTATCATTTCACAATATCTAGGACTCGATAAGAGTTCCTCTGGATTGGAGTCAATACTAAGGGAGTCCCTGGACATCCCGCAGAGATATCCTTTAAATTAGTAGCTGGGTAAACATGTTATAGATCATCTCTTAGTCACACTGGGCTGAGTAGTTAGCAGTGCCTTAAAATGGTAAAGCACATTCTGTTTATAAACCACACATTTTCTGCATTTCTCTTTTTTTTGTTTGTTTGTTTTATTTCCTGGTGACTGAGATGGGAAAACCAGGAGCTTTGCTTTTAAGACTTTGCACCTTCTTCTCTACCTGACTTCCCTGCCCTCTGCATCTGTGCGCAGAAGGTGGTAGCACTGCTACTTCTGTTCCTTGCTGGAACACCTCCACCCACCAGGCAGCCAGCTCCCCTACACTGGAGGGCCCAGATGAAAGAGCCAGTCAGTGTGCATGGGGGAAAACAGCACAAATTAGGACTATAATCCCTTGCACGGCTCCCACTCTGAGCTATGGCTCTTCCCTGACAAGGCTCCTGGGGCAGCCTCCGTGGGGGCAGCAATGCTGTCCAGGGGCCAGTAGGAATGCAGACACCCTTTTCCTTCTGCATATCCTCCAAGACAGGCTAACATGATGAACCTGCTGGGGGACAGAGATAGGGAGAGGAGAGGTGCATCACACCCCCAGAGGAAGAACGAGTAGGAAACTCCATGAGTTTATGACCCACAGCATTTCTCCCCACTCCGGTCATGACATCACCATCACCTTCACAGCAACCAACTGGGATGCCACTGAGTCAGGTGTTGAAGAAACTCCCAGTGGTGATGGCCCTTAAAAAGCAAAGATCCTGTTACCCCCCACCCCCAAACATCCTCATCAGAGAGTGAAGCTCAGGCTTATTCCCAAAGAGAACAGCCCCCCACCTTCCCTGGACAGATTCAGCCATGCACTGGTGCCTGGCTAGAGGAGCATTTCACTCACAGACGTGCACGTCTAACCATCCTTCTTGGAAGCTACTGTTTTGTCGCTGCAGGAGGGGACACCTCAGAGGAGTTTTCATGAACAACTGTCCTTTCCCCTTGAAGGTGGTGCAAACGCTTCCCTTTGCCCAGCGAACGGACACACAGGCAGTCCCCATGTCCTAGCGCCATGGCTCCAAAGGCAGGCCCTGGGGCCTGGAAGCACGTTGTGTGCAGACCTTTAGTTATGCTGCTCTGCAGGCAGTTAGGGATGTGGCTTTCCACATGAACAGCTATTCATATGGAAAACGAGCAAGAACCCCAGCTTCTTGCAATGGACTTATGTATTTGAAGGAAGTATTTGAATCCTGGAGGACGTCCAAGCCTTTTGGACATCATGCAAACAGTCAACATCTCCCTGGTTCTCCCTTTGCTGGGTGAACAGACATTGCTCATAATTTGTCATTTTACTGAGAATTATTTTTGCTTCTTTTAAAAAAAAGGGCTTGGGGGAGAGGGAAATGGAGGGCCAGGAAAGATTAGTGTATCTTAGAACTAAATTACATCTAGATTTCCCTTGGATTTCACTCAAAGGATGGAAAGACCTATGGCAGCTCCTACATTCACAACTACTCGAAACACACTGAGATGCATGCAAAATTTCCTAATTCAATCTGTTTGAAGAAATTATTCTTGGGAAGAGGAAGGTAGTTCACATTGTTCTTCAGTTCAGCACCTTGGACAGTTCCTTGTGGACTCAGAGCTTGTCTGTAGCTAAGTGGAACAGATGGCATGGGTTGTTATTCTCCCCCCCCCCCCCTTTGTAAACATTCTTTTAGTTCCAATGAGCAAGGTGATCATTTGATTATCAATCAAAACTGCATAGGTATAAAAACGTGGTAACACCCCGCCCCATCGGTCAGACAGTAGGATCGAACTGGAAGACCATGAACGTCTGGTGTGCATGGTCTCCATTTCTACATCTAATTGGTTGGGAAGCAGCATTTGCCACAGGCACTGTTTAATCATATTCTCATTCCTTGCATGTTATGGCAAGGGAATATGAGTTATTCAGATAAGAAAGCCTCTTCCAGCCAAAATACCCTGGAAGTACAGAATCCCCCAGGTATGTCATCGGAAGTCCACCAGCTGTGCAATTCCTCTTTTGTGACATAGCTTTGGCCACTACCAAGTACCATATTCTTTCTGAATAAGGAGGAACTCTGTTTCCATTCACCAGATGTCTGCTTTGGCTCAGAAATCCAGTTCATTTGCACCATACCAACAGCAATGACGTCCTCATGCATGCACGCCCACACACCATCTACTTGGGAGGTATCACTATCAAAGGCTGGCCTCGTTTAGGTCTCCACATGAGGACTTGGGCATCGTTGGCATTGGGTTTCACTAGTGCGTTTGGCGGGATGGGTTCCATTCGGCTCAGAATCCGGGGCTGCTCCTGATGAGTCCTTCCCACTAGTCGTGCTCGCTGCCCCAGGAGCTGCAGGGGATCCACTTCAATGTCCACACGCATCCTCCACTTTATAGTCTGCAGGATGATCTTCTCCTTGGTGGTCATATTCATGGCTACTAGCCACGTGGTAAAGCTCTGATCCCTCTTAATCCTGGTCAGCAGTGGTACATTGCTGTCACTCACAGGGACAGCCCATGTCACGCTGGGGTAAAAATTGTCATTCATACTGACTGAGAACCGGGAGACCTTGTTAGTGGGCCCAACCAAGGTCACCGTTTCCGTGGTGTTCCCATACCAGGGGTAGCTCACACCATCAGAGTCACTGATGGCTTTTACTCTCCCTTCTCGCAAGTCAGGAAGTTCCCAGCTGGACCTAGGGAATGAAAACGAAAGAACCAGGTTATAAATGAAGCTGCAGCAATAACTACTGGGTAGTTCTGTAGTCTACAGCAGGGTGGGCTGATTTAAATCAAAGCATTTTAAAATCACTGATTTTAATCATGATTTAAATCAGCAAGCAGGAAACCTTGATTTTCCTCCATTTTAATTATGTTTTGCATTTGTACTTTTTAGTTATTTTCCTAAAAAAAGGTTGATTCTCACTGGTTGACAACCATTAAAACACGTTGAGTTGCAACTAAATATACCCTTTATGCAAAATTTAGTGCTTTTTTTATGAACGAAGAAGATACACGGTGTCTATACACATTTATTTAAGCAATTACACAGCTTAAATTACATTTATAAAGATTCTTATTTTTTACATTTTCATGATGTTAGAAAATGGTGGATAATGCATTTCTTATTTACCAGATGATTAATTTTTACTTGTGCTTAGTGTCAAATTCTGTTTAGATGGGAATTTGAATGCAATTAAAAATGCAAAAAACCCATAGCATTTACATTTTTTTAATTAGTTAAATAAATCTACCTTAAATGTGCTGGATATACAAGAAAAAAAGTTTATCAAAACAAGGTTTGCATTTAGAACTGATTTATTAATGCAAGGAAGTATTATTTGTAGTTAGTAAATGAAATTGATTGTTTCCTATCACTGTGTCCTTCAAGGTATCAGATTCCGACAGATCTCATCCTCTCAGACCTAGTTTTTATTAATAGATTGGAAGAGGAAAACAAGCTTTCCTGCTTTTTCATCTTCCTACTGGTTTTTAACTCTGCATGAACTAATCATTGAACTAAACTAGTTAAATACACTGAAATGAAGGAAACATTCTCTCTGCACCTGCAGAAAACGCTACTTTTCTGGTTGCAGGTGCTTAGCCCGTGATTTCTATCTGTTCAGTGATTTGACTTTCTTGAAAACTTTGGCAGTAAACATATACTGCTTATGTTTTTAAATGTAATTTATATGATTTTAATCGATTAAATTTAGACCTGAACACATGCTGTCATAATTTGACATAAGATTTCTAAAAATAAACTTGTATTTAATTTAAATTAAAAAATCCATTTTTTAAAAAGCCATTAATTTTTATCCACCCTGGTCTACAGGGCATTATTAAAGACAAGAAGCTCCGCACTAACACTCACAGGATGAAATGTTTGGCTGGAGAGAGAAGAAGAAGAAAACAGATAAGAGGATAACAATTTCGTACTTGCAATCCTGCTGAATGAGTCATTGCTGCATCATCAAAATTGCTCAGCACACTCTAGGTAACATAGGACAAGCTGAACAACCCAGTCAGATCTCAACTAGTACTTATCCAGCATCTTGGTCACAAAATCCCACCCTGCTTTTCAAATGAATGACCAATTCCTCACAGCACACTGGTGACAGAGCAGGTCAGGCTCAGGTTTTCAAGGCCGACTAGTGAGATTTAGCCACACAAATATTCATGTTCGTCACAGATTTCAAGGCCAGAAGGAGCCATCAGATCACCTAGTCCAGTGGTTTTCAACCTGTGGCCCAATCAGCACACAGCTGTGGCCCATCCTCAGGGCCATACAGGTCGTACATATACATTGTGTGGATGCAGCCCGCATAACACAGATAGCTTCATATGTGACCCACAATGGTAAACAGGCTGAGAACCACAGACCTAGTCTGACCTCCAGCATATCACAGGCCATCCATCCTCACCCAGCACCACACGCTAAACCCAACAATCAAAATAGACCAAAGTATTACAGTCCACAGGAGACTGGAGTATTATGTGCCACAGGCACAGAACAGGAGGGACCGAGGTGCACCAGGACCTGAGGCCCCCGCAACAGCAGGGAAATGAGGAAGTGAGATAGACCCAGATAATCCTGGCAGGCGACCCACATGCTGCAGAGGAAGGTGAAACACCCCAGGTTGCTGCCAATCTGACCTAGGGGGAAATTCCTTCCCAACCCCACACGTGGTGATCAGTTAGACCCTGAACACGTGAGAAAGAAACATCCAGCCAAGCACCTGAGACAGAGAATGCTCGGAGCCACCTCAGAGCCCTGGCCCTGCCCAGTGTCCCATCTCTGGCCACAGCAGCCCTGATGGTTCAGAGGAAGATGATAAACAAAACATCCCACCCCTGAATACACTGGGGGAGGGGAGGGGGGAGAGAATCCCTTCCTAACCCCTACAGGTAGGCAGCTGAAACCCTGAATCATGCTCTTCAGAAATATAAGACATATACTGGAAATGAGCCCCAGGGCTTCTGAGCCTTGCCCCCTACCACCACAACCAGCCCTGTCATACAATCACAATGAAAAATCTGTTCCGCTATCTCCTAAAACTAATTAAGTGCTTTGCCCACAACTCTGATTGGGAGGCTGCTCCAGAACCTCACCCTCTGGTGGTTAGACACCTTCTCATTTCCAGTCTGAATTCGTTCATGGCCGGTTTATACCCATTTGTAGTTGTGCCAGTATTGTCCTTTAGCTTAAATAGCTCTTCACCCTCCCTGGTATTTACCCCCTGATGTATTTACATAGAGCAATCAGATCGCCTCTCAGCCTTCTGTTTGCTAGACTGAACAAGCCAGGCTCTTCCAGTTCCTCCCATAAGACAGGCCCTCCATTCCCCTGATCATCTTAGTAGCTCTTCTCTGCACCGGTTCCAGTCTAAATTCATCTTTCTAGAACACGGGTGATCACAACTGTACAAGGTACTTCAAATGAGGTCTTACCAATGCTTTGTTCAATGGCATGAACACCTCTCTCTCTCTACTGGAAATGCTTCGCCTGATACAGCCTAGGATGTCACTGGCCTTTTTCACAGCCACATCATATCGGTGGCTAATAGCCCAGTGATCGACCCACACACCCAGGTCTCTCTCCTCTGTTGCTTCCAACTGATGAGCCCCAGCTTGTAGCAGAAATTCTTATTATTAGACCCTCAGTGCATGACCTTGCACTTTGAACTACTGAATTTTCATCCCATTTCTGTCATTCCAGTCTTCGAGATCAACCAGATCTTCCTGTACAATACTACTCTGTATTGACAAGGCCTCCCAATTGTGTACCATCAGCAAATTTCATTAACGCACTCTTACTTTTTCTGGCAAACTTCACTAGTAACCTCCCTCCAGTCTGATAATTCACCCGTCAACACAACCCATTGTCTTCTCCCCTTTAGCCAGTTCCTTAGCCACTTAACAATTCTGTACTGATCCCCATCCTCCCTAACTTAACTAGTAATTTCCAGTGTGGTAAAGTGTCAAATGCTTTACTGAAGTCCACGTATATTGGACCTACTGCACTTCCCCTATCTAAAAAAGAGTTATTTTTCAAAGAAGCAAATCAGGTTAGTCTGGCATTGCATTACACCCCCCTTACCATTTACTTCCATTAATTTAATGGTAATAGGAACTGTGTGGCTAAATCCCCTAGTGCAGTGTTTCTCAAACTATTGTACTGGTGACCCCTTTCACATAGTAAACCTCTGAGTGCGACCCCCCCATTATAAATTAAAAACACTTGCTTATCTATTTAACACCATTATAAATGCTGGAGGCAAAGCGGGGTTTGGGATGGAGGCTGACAGCTCGTGACCCCCCATGTAATAACCTGGCGACCCACTGAAGGGTCCCGACCCCCAGTTTGAGAACCCCTGCCCTAGTGGGCTTTGAAAACCTCAACCTAAGTGATCATAACCCAAGTGATAACATAAGTGACCCAAGGCCACACAACAAGCCAACAGCAAAGCTATTTCCTGGAGTCCAGTTTTTTGCCTTAGCCACAAGAACCTCCTTCCCTACTGTAACAAAGTGGCCTTTGGCAGGACACTACTGAGAGTATTAATTCAGGACAAGTAGGGCAGTCACCGCCCAAGGCTGGGGATCCTTCACTACTAATGCACACCAAACCAGCCAAACAGAGAGGACTTTGGTTTTACCCCACTGGCTAACCAGAAGTCATACAAGCAATTCCCTCAGACACTCCAGTTTCCCAGTATCACCACCAGAGCCACTCCTTATGGGGATAAATGATTATGAAAACCAATACCCAGGTAAAAAAAAAAGGTTCTCCCGATCCCAAAGGACCAAGCCCCAGACCCAGGTCAATATACCAGTCAGATCTTACCCACAAATCATGCTGCTGCCAATCCTTTATCATGTAAAATCTAAAGGTTTATTCATAAAAAGAAAGAGATATAGATGAGAGTTAAAATTGGTTAAATGGAATCAAATACATACAACAATTGCAAATGTCTTAGTTCAGGCTTGTTTCAGGCTTGACGAGATTACTGATGATTTAAACCAATCAAGTCTCTGGGGTACAAACATCCCAGCTTGGATGGGTCGTTCAGAGCTTCAGTTTCAAGCACAGTTCCTCCAGAGGTCAGAAGCAGGATTGAAGACAAGATGGAGGGGTTTCCAGGGCCTTTTATATCCTCTGCCATGTGGAAGGAAACCCCATTGTTCTTACAGTGGAAAATCACAGCAGCAAGATGGAGTTTGGAGTCACATTGGCAAGTTACATGTCCATGCATGACTCAGTTTGAAGGAGGCAGCCATTGCTTACATGCGAGCTTGAACGTTCCCAGGAAGGCTCCTCAGATGTGGATTGGAGTCTTCCAGGGTCCATTGTCAGTTAAGTGTTTCTTGATTGGGTACTTACTCAGAATAGTTCTTTCTCAAGAAGCTGAACAAATGCTTCACTGATGCTACTTAGAATCAAACACATTGAGATACAAGTACATAGCCAATATTCATAACTTCAAATACAAAAATCATACACACATAGACAGCATAACCATAACCAGCAAATTACAACCTTTTCATAGACTCCTTACTTGACCTCCTTTGTACAAGATTTGCAACTAGAGGACCTTGGTTGCAACAATGATCTATATGGTCACAGTTCATGTCAATAACGTCACACCTATGCACTAACATGAGCGCAAAGAGAAGAAAGGTCCTTCAGCTCGGGAGCCATTTCCCCACTGCAGGGAGCAATCAAGTGCCTCCTCCAAGAACAAGTTCAAATTCTTGGTTTCTTTGCAGATTCAGAATCATTGTGGACGGAGGCCTTTGCTTTGCCAACACACCTGTAAATTAATTTGACTGCAGCCTAACTGGTTGGGGCAAATTTCACTTCTGAGTCCATTAGGTCATGCTCTCCGTCATCAGCTCTCTTCTGGGGAAAGTGGCCCTTTCTACCTGCCAGAGTTGCCGCTCATCCACTCCATTGACAGCATAATCCGGGAAGCAGTTGCCAGAGTTCTGGGGCTGGGTAGGGAATATTTTTATTGTACTACTGTACTTGAATAGTCGTGAGAACCAAATCCCTGCAAAGCATCCTGGGAGAACAGTCCAGATCAGATCTTGCTGGAGTTAAGGACAGTTTAGATTTTGCAAAATGCCCCATAACAAGACCAAGAACCGGATCTCTCATCCTCCTTCTCAAGTTGCCAGAAATAGAAAAATGTTTCCTCTTTTAGTTTACTGAATTCATTTATTCTGACTTTTAAAAGCTGTGCCCTGCACTAGGCAATAAAACACAGCTATCCATCATTTTGTTACTGTCCTGTCTTAGATCAGGTAAGTATGCTGGACACTGAAGGATCTTTGCTCTGAAAGGTTAGCATTATCAATGCAGGGTACCAAGAAAGGGGAAGGGGGTCAGAAGAGGATAAAAATACAAGTGCACTTGGCTTTTGTTGAAGTCTCTTGTTAATTCAGAGCTCTTGCCTGTAACAGTTGTGAGGCCAACAGCTGCCTACAACTGCATCTCCTGGCAAGTGACAGCTGGGTTACATTTTCCTGAGATGTGGATAAAATCAATTCTCTCTGACATTCCCACACACTCACAAGTCAGTGCAAAAAATACTCTGACCTGCTAATTGAATGCAAGGATTTGGGTCACGCATTCACTCCCTAAGGCAGCAGCAGGCAGGCAGCACTTCAGAGACACAAAGTTGCTCTTCCCTTTCCTCTTGAGTTGTGCTTTTTCGTCGCACAGCTCAATGGCACAGAGCCCACCATGCCACACCCAAACGTGGTGCCAGTGAACAACCCAGGATCCAAGCCTGCAGAGCGCACCAGGCAGGCACTTCCTCCAACTGCTGAGCCAGAATTCAAGAGCAAAATACTTTTACATCTTGCTTCTTTTCTGGCATTTTAGACAAAGGTGACTTTTTACAAAATTTGGCACTTTTAAAATAAACAAACAAAACCTGTGAAAGGCACCAGATTACACACTTTGTTTTCCTTGGCGCAGGCACTCCAGACCCTCCAAGGTTTTACTTCCATCCATTCAAATGGCAGAGATGCACAGAATTTCAGGCTAGGAGGAACCACTGTGATCATCTCGTCTGACCTCCTGCATAGCACAGACCACAGAATGTTAACCAGCAGTACGTAACCTGTGAGCGCGGCTCTACTAAGCTAATAACTTAGGGCTGAACTAGAGCTCATTGTTTAGAATGGCATCCAAATTCAATGTCAAGTCTCCAAGTAGTGACCCATTTCCCACCTCCCTTGGTAAGCTGTTCCAGACGTGCTAAACATGAATTTTTCCGAACATCAGATTCCAGACCCTGCATCTTGTTACAAGTTGGCCTCTTCCTATGTAGGTCTAACCTTAATCAAGTCACCTCTTCACCTTCTTTTTGATAGGCTACGTAGCTTGTGCTCTGTTGTAATAAGTAGGCCTACAAAATTACTTTTTACAGTTGAGCTCACACTTAGGGTAAGTGAAAGTTCATCAAATGTCACAACAACCTATAATAACAAATGCTGATGGGAAAAGGTGCAAAAAAGACAGACTGAATTAGCCCAAACAGAAAGGCCTACTGATCTAACTCAAGGGCTGTGCTAAGATCACGCTTTGTAAACAAGAAAAGTGTGGAACCAGAAATCAGTGAACCGAAGTTGGTATGTTGGAAACTAGGCCTAATTGGTGGACAAAATAATGAGAGGACAGGCTATTCCACCCATCACTGCCCTTTGGGGGTCCTCAAAAGAGAGACTTGGTAGGGGGAGGGGGAAACTGTCCCTGCAACACTGGCTAGAAGCTGAAAAAAGGGGACAGAACGAGATTCGTTATCATGATTGCCACCTTCTCCTGGGACCCTGGACCTTCTTCATGTTAATCCTGAAAGGTGCCCTGACCAGACCAGGACAGAGAGAAGGGATCCAGGTGACATTGCCACCTCCACTGGCTCTGGCTAAATCCCGAATATCACCCCCTACTCCCCAAGTGTGTCCTTTTCCTTCGCCACATTAATTCTTCTCTTCCCTATCTTTCTTACTTTGAATGTCTTTCTAATGTCTAATAAGAATCTGGCTTAGTCAGTCAAGACTGTATACTTTGCAGCCCTGCTGTGAGCCTGTGACCAGAATGCAATGCAATGTCTAAACAGCCTGATGCTGGTACGAGTTTGCCAGGTCT